AAGAATCAAGGTCATAGTTTTTGATAAGAAGACTGATTTTTTGATCTTATAGAAGTTTGGTAAAACATAATTATGTAAAAGAAGGAGATAGCTGATCGAAAAATGACGTTTTTCAAATGGCATATAGAAGGAGGAGGAAGTAGTCAGTATGTATACAAGAAATTTCGTTCTTTTTTCAAAAAAAAGAGCTAGATGATAAAATTTGTTAAATGTGAGAGCTAAAAATTTAGAGCAGTCAAACGTTTAGAGAAATAATAAATTTAAATTAATATTGGTGTATTTCCAAATAGTTAAATTTTAAAGGGCTTTCAGGTTACCATATCCATAAGGGAGTAATTAATTCAAAAATCATATTTATGCCTCGTTTTGAAGGAATTGTAAATACCGTTCAATATCCTGAAATTTTGTATAATATTATTTTATATTTTAAGTTACAGAAACAGGATCAGGAATAATTATTAATAAATAAGTTCAAATGCACTGAATACAATTAATTGTTTAATATGTACTTGCGCTTTCACTATACTTTGGAAAGCTGTACGTTGTTTGAACAAAAGACATATATTTTCTTTAAAATTTTCTCTAAAATAAAGGAGGGCAGACAGTATGACACTTAGAAATACATAAATTTTTAATGATATTTTGAAAATACGCTAAAAAATATGAGAAAAGTGAAAATAAATTAAAAGAGTTATAAATAATGTTGAAAAAAAAAAGAAAATCTCTGATTTCTCTTGATTATAATTGACTTCAAGTACGTGTATTCGTATATATACCTTAATAAATTAGACCCAAATAAAAAACAAAAAGCAAAATCAAAATTAAAAAGTATATTTAATAGAGAAGGGAGTGAAGTGTTCTAGTTGTAGGAGGACAATATGAAAATATACAAGTATATCTGTTACATAAGACTGCAAAACAATATTGTTCTGAATAATTTTTGAAATGAATGAATGCATGTGTATGTAAATGTGTGTGTGTGAATATTGTGTATAAAATATTTATGTTTCCACGTTATTCTGTATTGTTTTTTCACTTACCTTCTAGTTTTTTTTTTATTTTTGTTTATATATACATATATTGTTTAATGCGATCTATAAGTGTGTTTCAAAATAATTGCAGTCAATTAAAAGTTTGGAAATTTTTCAAAAGGGAAATTAAAATTGTTGTGAATATTAGAAACAAAAATCAAAACAAAAAATAAAAATTTCGAAAAACAATAAAAAATGTGTGGATGTGTACTTTTTTTTTTTTTTTATATTGTAGAAAAGTTCAAATGTGTTTCAATAAAATGCAGATTCGATAGAACGAACAATTTATTGTGTAAAGCATAGAAAAAAAAAAATAAAATAAATATTGTTCGCAATTTCAATAATAATGTTTTTATGATTATTAAATTCCTGAAAATTAATTTTAGTTTTAGAAATTTATACTAAAACTTTATTTACATAACACACACAAACGCACACGTAATAAACGTGTACGAATTCATGCGTATGGAAAATAATCTCGTACTTGTTTTCCAATTAATTGTATCTTTCTGATTTTTAAATCGATTTCATAGTTAATATTTAATTTAAAATAATTTTATTTATATTGGATATTTTTATAAATTTCATTTTTGAATTCAAAAATAATTGAAAATTTCGATGAAAATGTAATGAAATCAACAATTTTCTCATTTACGATTTTCAATGCAATTTTGTAAAAATAAAAAAAGGAGAGTGTAATTAAATGTAAAAATTTGTATGTGTATATGCTATTGAATTTTTATGACTCTTGTCATAAAATATAAAATACTATAACTCTTAACAGATATTTAAACACTGAAAAAAATTTCATCTAAATTAGATATTTTTTATAAACAGAATCGATACAAACTCTGTCCAAAATCACGACAACCACATATAATAGGTGATTTTGACATAAATGTATTTCGTATCTCTATATTTTTATTTTGAATGCAATTCAAAACAGTTTTGGAAATATAGGTAATATTTTCAAATTAGTTATACTTTTAAGCCGTTTCTGAAAATTAATTATCTAGTTAGAATAAAAACAAATTTCTGAATGGGCTACAATGATTTTGTATTTTATTCTGTAGCTAAATTCAAAATGTTTTTCGAGAAATCGAAAAATATTTATAGTCACATTACAAATAAATTCTTTATTATTTGCTAATGTTTTTATTTCAGTATGCCACTAAACTTGTGTCCATTAAAACGGTTTTTGTTTTGCTACATTTTATTTTGAAAAGTAAAAACAGGGCTATGTTCAAAGGAGCTATTTATTTTCCATAATTACAGCCTTCATATTGTATCAAAATTGGATTGGGTTGGACGAAATTGCTATAATTGATATAATTGAAATTATTTGAACGCGCTTTATTATAAGAAATTTTGAAATATGTGTATGTTATATAAAGATAAAAATTATTTCTACTTTTAGTAAAAATATTGCGAATCCTTGAATATTTTATTTTCAAAACAGAAATATGATCTTTGAAATGTTTTATGATCTCTTTAGATATGCGTTTTCTTCAGTGAGTGAATGAAATTTTTGAATAATGGTGTTTTAATTTTTAGAAAAATATTACATAACGTTGTTATAATTATGTAGCAACAATATTATAAAATTATAACAGCCCCTGGCTTTATTGTTTCTTGTTATAATTATTTGATGTCAAACTTATGAATTTTCTTGATAATTGTTTCAATTAAACCTGTACGAGTATAATGGGCAAACATATAGGCCGACTAATAATCATTTCACTAGAAAATAATAACTCCTTTCCGGTGAAGTAGTGACAAATTTCACTACATGTGAAAGTACCCACAATAAATGAGATTTAGTAATTGCACTGAAATTACTAAATCTCAATTATTGTGGGTAGTTAATAAAAAGTAAGAAATCTAATATACTTTGAATAATTAATAAAAGAACAGAATTTTTAATTTTGTAAATCAAATTTTAATATGTAGGTATGTATATTTGTTTTATTTATTAGTGTTATCAACATGATCTAATTGATTTTTAAAAATAAATAATTTGAAAGTTTTAATTCTAATATTGCTTTGCAGTATTTTTTTTTTATTTTCTGCAAATAATTCTTTAGATATTCCACTCTTTATATTTTATATATTTTATATATATGTATGCATTTTAGAACTTTGGTCAAACATATGTATATGCTCATATGTACTAATAATTGTCCTCAAGAGATAAAAATTTATATTAGAATATTTTAAGTAATATTAATTTTAATAGCTATATTGTACAGTAGAAAATTCTAATAAATATTAAATCATTTATTTTACATATAAATTACATATTTTATGATTTTGAACCATATCTTTGTATACATTTTATTAGAACATTTATTAGTTGAGCATATTTATTAGAAAAACCTTTTGTATTTGAAAACTATGAATTTCGAAAGAGTTAAAGATGACGATTATTCAGTAATGCAATTAAAATTTGTAAGAATTTAATTGAGAGTTACAAAGTTAGGTTTTGTAGCCTACATAAATTTAAGTCTTATATTTTTATAACGTATATACTTCAACATATTTATAACAGTTTTCTTTATGTCTTCTATTGTGTTATTCTAATAAATTAAATAATTAATTGAAATGAAGGAGAGAATAGATAACTAATTATTCTAATGTCTTATAACTAATAATTATTCAAATGTCTTATATTGAAACGCCTTCAAGAGAAAAGAAAGTTGAGAAAAAATATTCTGGAATTTCCCATTTACATTTATAAAAATTCGTAATTTTTGACAACTAAAGAGAGCTGATTGTTTGAACATTAAATATCTGGTATTTTAGCATATTTTGAAAATCTTATTCTAAAATAAATAATATTATATTCATGGAACTGAAGTGAATTAAAATTTAAGGAAATATGTGCTACATGGAAACTAAACCACAGAATGGAAACAATATGTGTGTTTTAACCTTAAATAAGATTGTATTGAGCAGCGAATACTGCTATTGTCAATGTGATCATAAATTTTTAGAAGAGAATTCTACTGCTTTTATTATTTCTCTTTATTTCTCTTAAAGACTCAATACTGTCTTATTAAATTATTTATTCCAGAATTATTTACAATTTTTGCTTATGTATAAATATTATTATTAAGTATAGCATATTAAGTGTATATATATGCAATTTAAATAAGAATTTTTTTTTGTATTTTAATAATTTATTTATTTAGAAAATAGAAAAATATGCCCAAAATAATTAAAATTTCTTAAAGGTAATTAAAAATGTCTGAAAAATAAATATTTTTTTTTTGATTTACTTTCATAATATCATATATAGGTAAAAATCTTTGTACATAGCAATTTATTTTAAAATTTTTATATTAATACATTAAATTTAAATTGAATAAAAAAATTTTTTTCTGTATGCCCTATGGCCTATTATTTATAAAAATACAATAAGATTGATTTACAAATATTAAATTTTATGATAAAAATAAATAATTGATTTCTCAATTTATAGTAAAAAGTATAGAATAATTCGTTCATCACCCTTCAATAATTTAATTAAGCATTATCAAAAGAAATATTGATTAGAGAGTTAAGAAAAATTGTAAATTTTTTTCTGAAATACTTCTAAATTAAGAAATAATTGTTCTTGATTTTAAGAAAAATGGAAAGTTTATATGATCTATGAAAATTTATATGATGTTAAATCTCTTTGGAAAATTTTTGTTAAATAAACCAAGAGAGTTGTACTTTAGATTGCACTTCTTTAAAAGTATAATCTAGTTGATGTTCCACTGCCATAAATGATAGTGTTAATGAAAATTGTATTGTAAAAAACTTTGTATGCTATGTATTGTATAAACTATGTATACTATGTATGTGTACTTCTTTGTACACATACATATTTCCATATACCCTTATAGACATATCGATAATATTTAATTATAAAATTTTCTTTAATTATTTTGTGATATTTTTTCTTAATTTTATTGTTTGTAATAGAATGTTTGCAACAGCACCATGTTCATCGTGCGGACAAATAATTGCAGCAAATGAATTTGTTATGAGAACAACAATACCAATTTCAAATAATCAAAATTCAAATTTTCATCATCAACAACAATTACAGCAACAACATCATCAATCAAATCAACAAATGCCAATATTACCAGAAAATCAAAAACCATTTCTAGGACAAATGGAACATCATGTATTTCATTTAAAATGCTTTACATGTTCAAAATGTTCATCACAACTAAGACCTGGTGATAGGTAATAATATATATTATATGTATATAAAATTTTTATATCAATTGCATGAATACATACATATTGTATACAGGGTAATTCAGTAATTAGTGACATAATATATACCATCACTTAGGGCTTTAAAAGTAAGTAAAATTTTTGTTCAGAAGTAGGTGTCAAAATTTCTACTTGCGCAAGTTTTTTGCTTACGACTTGTCTTCCGAAAAGGATAGAAGCTTCAAATAAACAATTTTTGAAAGGACTAGTACAGAACATGAAAGCAACATACTGCTTTATTTTGTATTGAATGTACTTTCGAAATACCAAGCATTCAAAAAAACTCCAAGCAGTTTGGAAAAAATCTAATTATTTTCTTTTTTTATTTTTCTCCAACCCCGTAATTTCATACGAAATTTTTTGAAATTTGGAAGTCGTCATATTCATTACTGAATCACCCTGTGTATATTTATTGTATAATATATTAATATACAAATAAGTATACCTATTTATATTATTACACCATTATAACAGTTGGATACGATTAATTAGAATTGCACAAGTGTACAAATTAAAATTAAAATTAAATGTTTATGGGGCAAATTACATTTATTATCATATAAGATGCAATCATTATTTTAAAACATAATTTTAAATTGTATTGTAGTCTTAAGAATTACAAATTGTCAATTACTTTAGTCAATTCGAACACAATTTTTTCTATTTATAATTTCAAAAATTGAGTTTATTTTTTGATTCGCATTTTAAAACGTAAAACATTTAATTTAAGATTCCAGTTATCTTACCAAATATTATATGAGCTCTATTAAGATATATAGCTACAGAATATGGAGGAACTACAATACTACATACTTTTTTAGTACACATCCAATTCTGAAACATTTTTAAATTAAAATTTCTAGCTAAATAATTTTGAAGCAAAAAAAAAGATTTACACTCTGCAGTAATATAAACAACCATTTAAAAAAAGCGGTGTCCATTTACATTAACTACATTCAAAATCTATTTACATTAATTACATTGAATTATTATAAAATATTATGTTATTGCATACTTTTCGGGGGAGAACAAATTGAGCAATTAATACGATTTCGCAATCAATGATGTAATTTAAAATATAAAGACATATTTTCGAATGAAAAGACATTTATAGATATTCGGGGCAATGACTCGGAAGGGTAACAAACAAATGAAATTTTGTTTTAGCGAAAAAGGTTTCTCACAAATTTATTTGTAAGGAATATGCTGGAAATTATCAATTCCTTTAAAATATAGTTGTCTTAAATTTGATTCATTCGAAAATTTATAAACTTAGAATTAGAAGTAAATTTTATTTTGGACACAATATGCTAAATCTTGAGGTACAATACTAGACCGTAACTATATCGTAAAATAAAGATTTTATAAATATTTTATCAATTTTAAATCTATCAAGTAACTTTGCAAATACTAAAATTCTTATAATTTTGATAATTAAACAAATTACTCGTACATTTATTTCAAAATTTAATTTAATTAAAAATATTTACTTACTTATCTTTAATTACACTCATTTCAATACATATTTCTTATAAATTTGTCTGTATATATATGCAACATATATATTCATATAATTAGACTTTGCAACATCACATACAAGAGAATATATATGTATAACAGTATTCATGTGTGTTTGGATATTCTCATAAACTAATTTTAAACACAATATTTTATTTTATATTTAAATTTAATTTTATTCTATAATATAATGTGTGTACATTTAACTACATGAAATACATTTTACAAAATACTCAAATTTATAATACATATATATACTTATTTAAATATAAAATATACAATTATTTCTATATATTATGATATTAGTATAATAATTAAATTTATATTTTATTCAACAGATATTATATGCTTGCTGGTAGTCTAGTATGTGAACCAGATTGGCATAAATTACTTAAAAATACAACACAAAGTCCACCAATACGTAAGGGAAAAGTTGGTAGACCAAGGCGAACAAGAGACTGAGATGCTGTTATACGTCTTGGAAGACCACCAAAAATTAAAAAAGAATTATTAGAATTGGATGCAATTAAAAATAATAAATTAATATCATCATCTTCATCACAATCTATAACATCGTTATCATCTTCATCAATATCACATTATAATCATAATAACAATAATAATAATAATATAATATGCAATGATCATAATAATATTATTGAAACATCAAATTCACAATCTTTTATAATAGGAAATGTTATTAATAATATAAATGGTGGTTCGTTAATTAATAATGTTGGTGGTGGTGGTGGTGGTAATGTCTTTATGAATTTATCTCAAAAACAGCAACATCAACAACAATTAAGTATAAATCAACATCAACAATTAAGAGATCAAAATTTATTTTATAATAGTTTATATAATAATAATTGTGAAAATGATTTTATGAAGAAACTAATTAAAACAAGTGGTATTGGTCAACAAAATTTACATCAACATAATAATAATAATAATAATAATGATCTTATAATGACATCACCATCATATAATAATGGTGAACCACAAATTTTAAGTAATTATAATTTATCATCAAATTCTGGTACTTCAATGATAATTGAAAATCGACTATTTAAAACCGAAATCGATTTTGATGAAAATTTAATAAGTTTAGATGATAATAATATAATAAATACAACATATATACCATCGATAACAAATAAAATTACTGGTTTTCAACATCATAATAATAATCATAATCATTTACAACAACAAAATCATCATCATCATAATCATCATCAACATAAACGTTTATTAGAGAACAACGATATTGAAAATAATTCAAGTAAAATTATACCATTTAATACAGTAGATTTAGAAGAATTGAGAAATTTTAAAATTTATCACAATAATAATAATAATAGTAATAATAATAATAATAATTCTTCAAACTCTTCATTAAATGGTTGTGGTGGAAGAGAAAATAATGATTTTATTAATACAAGTGGAATATTAAATAACCACATTAGTAATACTCATGAAATTGGTATAAATTCTGAATATAATGAAAAATTAAACAATTGTAAAAATTTTATTATTAGTAATAGAAATAATTTGCAACAACAACAACAACAGCATCAACAAGATGAAAATAAAAAAAATAATATTGAAATATTAGAACGTAAATCATCATCAGTACCATCAACATTAGAAATATTTTATGATAATAGCCATAAGGATTTTATTAGAAATTCATCTTCAATTTCGCCTAAAATAAAAACTACTGCAACATTATCTGGAATACAATTACCAACAACAACAACATTAACATCAATAACAACAAAAATAACAAAATCTAGTCCATCATTATCATCATCAATTGTATTTGATAATAAACAGAAAAATGAGAATTTTCATTCTTTAACAGGATATTCAAATTCAATTATCGATAATAATAATAAAAATAATAATAACAATAGTAAAAAAAATAATAGCAATATTAATAATAACAATAATAATAATAATAATATAATAACAACAAAAATTGCAATGACAGTGAATAATAATGAAATACGAAAGGAAATAAATGGCTGTAACAAATTAACTAGTAAAATATATGATTGTAATAATAATGATGCAACGATGATACTTAATTCAAATAATAATGATAACAATAATAATAATAGTAATAATAAAAATAATAATAACAGCATTGGATTATTCGATATTTCAAAGAAATTCACTGCGTCAAAAATTATTGAAAATTTTAATAACAATAATAATAGTAACAAAATTATTAATAATAAAAATCATGAAATATCTCAATAAAAAAAAAAATATTAAATTATTTAATTAAATTCAATAAACAATCAAATATTTAATAATAATTAAAAAAATTAAATTAATAATTATTTCATTAATACAATGATAATAATTAGAAAAGAAAACTGCGGCGGCAGAACTTATAAGAATGAAACTCAATTATAATTCTTTTAAAATTAAAATGACCATTTCAATTAATTATATAAAAATAACAATAATGAAAGAGTAAAACAAAATAGCTTAGAAAGCGTTGAAAATTTCATATTTTTAATTAAAAAACAAAAGTTTTAATTTATTTAATTTTTAATTATTCTAAATTATAATTAAAAGAATTCTAAAAAATACTTGTAAATCATTTATAAATAATTTATTTATTTATTTTCATTTAAAACTATAATTATAATTATTTATTTTAATAAAATTAAAAAAATATATTTTATAACAAAAATTAAATGTAATTAAAATTTAATTTTATTAATTTCTTATATAATAAAAAAAAACAAAGAGAATAAAATATTAAATTGTTAAAAAAAGAACTCATATATGAACACAAAAACATATATGAAAATTACTATTGAAATCTAAATTTAATCTTTTATTTGGTCTTAATTTTAAAATATAATATTTTTAAGAGTTGAAGTGTTAAGTGAAATGGGCAAGTATAGAAGTTAAAGTTTTATTTCCTATGTGTCAATAAAATTGAACTCGTAAGAAACATATTGAAATTATTGTATATGAGTGAAAAATTTCGATTCAAATTAATTGTTTTTAAAATAGCACATTTCCTTAAATTGAGTGAAAAACACTGTGTTTGTATTTTTGCAATATTCTCCTAATATTATTTGACTTTCTCGCATTGTATGCATAATGTATTGGAAGGTTAATTAAATAATAACAGTTTAGTTAAGATAAATAACATTTTTTGACAGAAAGACACTAAGATACTGTTAGATTTAAATTTTTGGCTGGAATTTTAAGAAAACCAATAGTTTTCAAAAAAAAAAAAGATTCCGCAAATTGAAATTTTGATAATTTTCAGAGGGTAAATTTCAATACGGTATAGGGGAATGAGGTAACAACAAATTTTGTTCATACAAAATAAACTATTAGAGCGGCCAAAATTTCAGATTTCTAGAAGATAGACTGTAAAATAGTACGAGTATCACGAAATTGAAATTTTGATAAAATTTTAATACCGATTAACATATAGCTCAAACGTCAATTTCTATGAAAATTTTTGTCATAATTTATGGCCATACTTACTACATTATTCGAAAACAACTTTCTTGAAATTTTATATTATATATCTGATATTGAGGAAACTTTCATCGAATGAAAATTTTGTGTGTTTTCAGAAGCTTTAACTTTATTTAATCAATTATAGAGCTAGATAAATAATAGAAAACCCGTTAAATTTAATTTATAATAGTTTGTTAAATAATTACAAATACGAAGTACATATGTACGTACACAATTACATAATATTATGGATAAAATTTTCCTATATATATACATATATATGTGTGTGTGTGTGTATGTACATACTTAGGGTTTTAATTTAAAATTATGTTGTTTAACAATTTTGTTTACAGTTATTATCAACGCTTTTATCATTTTCTAACAAACAGTTACGTAACAACTTTATTATTTTTCTCATTTTCTTTTTCCTTATTTCTTTGTTATTCTTATCTCTTTTCCTCCCGTCATTGTTATAATGTTTACTTAGAAATTAATTTTTACCTGTATGGGGATATTGCTGCAATAGACCAACCAAAAATATAACAGAAAATACTCTAAAAATAAAACAGAAAACCAAAATCGTCTGTTGTATAAAACTTTTATGCTTTCAATGTTGTATTTACATGGTATTTTGTCTACTTGTAGAAAAGAGAAACAAAATCTAAAACAAAATCATAAGAATAAAAAAACAATACGAGTTTTTCTACCCACTTGTAATTATGCATGTCCATATGTTAATATATGTGTGTATATAAATCTAAAGATGCCCTTATTATACTCATGTGTACGTACCTGTTCGCAATATGAACATAGGGCGGTTTGTTTAGGAAGATGCAACATTTATAAAATCCAGGTGAGTACAAAATGCATAAATGCATTACATATACATACATACATACACACATAAATAAATTCATTACAATTCTAATAAATTTAAATAAACAACCATAGCAGCAGCAAAAAAAAAACACAAAATGGAAAAAAAATGGAAAAAATAAAATGAAATAAAATCAAAAAAGTTATGAAAACTTCATTTTACATACATACATACATGCAATATGCGATGACGATGATGATAATGATGAGAAGGTATGATTCATTAAGGCATGAGTTATTATGGGGGCTACTTAAATGCGCTTACTTGATTCATCGTAAATATTTCCATTTTATTCTCATTTCTATATTATGAACCTTCAAAATTTAGATATATATAAACAAATATACACCATTCATATATGCACACTGTATATAGTCTCTTATGAATTTTCACGTATAATAGTAAAAGTATAACTAAATACAAAAGTATAACGGTAACATTATTTCTATCTTTTCATTATTTTCCTTCTATATACCAAAGTATACATAAATATCTTATATATAATTGGTGTTATACATATATGTATGCCAACATACATACGTGTTTTCCGGTATAATATGTTATCTACATTAGCGTAATTGGACTTCATTTAAAATGAAAATGCTGCCTAATTAGCGAAAGTGGCGTAGCATTCATCATTTGAACAGTAAAAGCAAAATAATATTATACATTCATCTATGTACATATGGAACCTGTAGGTATAGGACAAACTACATAGTATGTTATGCTGTGTACATTAGTACATTTGATTTTGAATAAACATATGTTGTGTGTAATATTGTATACATACGTATGCAATATGTTTGTGCATATCTGCATTTTATTTCATTATTATTTGGTTTTTTTTTTTACTTTTCGCTAAAATAAGAAAAATTAGTATTGGGAAATTGTAGAGCAATAGAAACAAAAAATATATCACGCAAGTATATATATATATACCCGTAATAAGTATGTATATACACAGTTTGTGATGGGAAAATTTTATTATAATAAAATGTGGGTCCATCTAAAATACAAGAATTTCATAAAGACTTACAAAAAATAAAAAATAGAAGAATTCATAGATTGAGTTTGAAACCAAATTGAAAAAATAAAAATTTTAAAGATAAAATTCTATCAGTAATTAATGCACAATTTTAGAATTAGAACTTACGGAAAAGGTGATTTAATTTTAAAATTTTGCATCCCAGTTATTATTTAAAATCATGTTTCAAAAATTTAGTAGCTTCCAATAACAATTTCTTAAATTTTTATGCTTAAGCCAATGTCGAATTAAAAAAAGGCCAAGCTTTCATCTGTCTTT